AAAAGTAGAGGACTGGATTAAAAAGATGTGGTACATATATACAATGGAATATTACTCAGCAACCAAAAAAGAGAAACATGTCTTTTGCAGCAACTTGGATGGAGCTGGAAAAGACCATGCTTAGTGAGATAACCCAGAAAGAGAAAGAAAAATACTGGATGGTTTCACTCATAGCAGGAGTATAATGGACTAGGTGAGAAAATAACAAGAATAATGAACAGCCATATACCAGAGACATTTTGTAGGGGTGGAGGGGGGAATGGGATCAAAAACGGGGGTGGGATGGAGAGGGAAGTGCACAGGATTATGGTGATAGCACACGGGTGACTTGGTGATGGGAACCCGCGGGGATTACAATTGAGATGGGGGGGGGGAATGTACAAAATAATGTAAAAATAAACTGTTATATATAAAAAAAAAAAAGACTCAACAGGAAATGGAGGCCTAATCAATGGGAGGGCTTTAGAGGAGACTCACGAGGACATTTCTTCACACAGGTGGCGCCAAAGCTGTACTTCCCCTCTGGGTTGACATCCATCTGGTAAGTGGTGGGGTTGTAGAGCATGAGAGGGGGACAGGTGTCCTTGCAGGTGGCTTCATCCCGGAACTTCCGGCAGACCTGTCACAGAAGGCATTCAGGATCAAGATGGGCAAGACAGTGTTGTGACTGTGTTCAGCTTGGGTGGCATTTCTCAGCATCCAGGTACTTGGAGAGAATAGAAAAATCTAGCAAAATATTTTTGGTAAGACCAGGTTGACCTTTCCCTTTAAAACATGTTTTTTTCTTAAATATACTGTCTCAGTCATCATAATCTATGGATTGTGACTAGAGAAAAATACATCACCTGAATAATTTACAAAATGACAAAGGTGGTTACATTGTAGTGTGCCAACTTTTGAGTGAAATTATTATTATTTATTTTTAATTTGTGCCCCTACCACTCTCCGTTTTCCTCCCCCACCATCTTAAAATCAAACCCTATGTCAAGTATTTATTTTTATTGTTTTCCCTGTTTTGTTCCATATAATTCTTTTAAACCTCCTCTGTTTGTTGAAAATGACTGCATTTCATCCTTTGCTGTGGTTCTCATAATATTCCATGATATGCATATATCACATCTTCAACCAATTGTCTGCTGATGGGCATTTTAAGTTTCTTCCATGTCCTAGCTATTGCAAATAGTGCTGCTATGAACATTGTGGAACATAAGAGCTTTTTGTTGAAAGTCTCATATTCTGTGGATACATGGCCAAGAAAGGAATCATTGCATCATACAGTATTTCCATTTCAGTTTAAGGTAAATCCAGATTGCTTTCCATAATGGTTGTATCAATTTACATATTAAAACTCAATTTACACTTCCCTTATAAAAAATGAATCTGGGATACATTTTAGAATTTATTGCCAAACCACAAAGACACTTGATGAAGAAAGGTGCCATGACCATAGAACAGACCAAACACAGTGGTGGCCTTGATCAAATGTCATCTTTGCCTTCAGGTTGTATAGTAAAACCAGTCCAGCCCAGCCCAGTCAAATTCCTTGGGGCTGGTCAGCTTCTGGAATTTAAAACCGTCCCCTTCCTGAAATAGTCTTTTGGCACCCACTTTAGGTGGGCCTCCCTGTCTTGTGCCCTTGAGGGTCTCCCCTTGCTGGTACTGGTGTCAGGACTCATTATCCAGCCTGGCAATCCAGGTCCCCCAAAAGTATCACAATGAGGTGCCACCCTCCAGTCACTGGGGTTCCATGAGGTAGAATCACAGTCACTGGTACAATGAGGCTTTGCTCAAAGCTTTCTGCAGTAACAGGGACAAAGAGAAGCTGAGTGGGGCTGTAGGAGGCCTCTGAACTGTGGTGGAGACAGTGGAGGGAGCAGGTCAGAAGATCCCAATGCAGCCCCAGATATGCACTGAAGTCATGTGACTTGGATGGGTCTTAACATCATTCTTTATATTTTAGGGACCCATATGGTGTCAACTCCCTAGGTTGGTACTGAGAAACAGTTGAAACAATAAATAGTTTTACAGTGACGCTGCTGCCAGCCACAATAAACATTTAAGGATAAATAACACATATTTGGCCTTTATGCTCATTCCACTTCCAGGTGCCGGGTCAGACACCACATTCATTGTGTCATTTAGATCACTCAGTAGAGAGGTACTCTATTATCTGCCATTGTCAGACCAAGGAATCTAGGTAGAAGGGTCAGATAATTTTCCCAAGGTCATAAAGTATGTGACGAATGCAGGATCATTAAAGATGCTTTGTCATCTGGCACAGGGCAACCTTTTGCATCTGTTATTAAAAATGCTACTTGACACATTTCTCCCACAGGCGGTTCTCTATGTCCTGGGATGGAGAAGCCTCCAGGGGCTGGGCTGTGGGCTGTGATGGCACCGTGGGCTGCAGGCTCACTCACCAGGCAGTCACTCTCGCGGGGCCCAGTGCAGCCAGCAGCACATTGGTTGTGGCAGCAGTCGCTGGGGGACTTGCCGCGGCAGCGCCCAGAGCACTGCTGGGCACAGATGATTTTGGTCACTGAAAAGAAGCACAGATGGTTGTGAGCTGAGATGAGAAGCCAGGAAAGACGAAGGATCAGTTCCCAGGGACCTTAGAGCATTAGGTCCCAGGGACCTTGCAAACAGTGCTTGAAAAACTTGAGAGAATGGATTTCATGATTACACGGCTTGTTAAAATTCCCAAACATTCACATGTTGGCAAACTAAATTGAATTACATCTTTTCTTTTTTTTTTTTTTGTACCTTCCCCCGCCCCACCATTGTTTTTAATCACTTAGGTGAACCAGCCAGAGTTAGTCTAAACTTTTAGACCTGGAAATAATTAAACACTTGTTAAAACTGTGTTTTTGGTTCATATAAAAAGCTCCTGCCAGGAGTTAGTGCAAAAAAGATGTAAGCCATGTCACTATTAAAATTAAGGATTACATGTCCCCAGATGCCATGGCCATCTATGCTTCTGGAGCATAAAGATTCAGGCAGAAAAACGTGCCTGAAAACGTTGCTCATGCTTCTATGGACATGGATACCAAAGACAGGGGAGGAAAGGAGAGAAACAAGTTTCCTATGGCTGGGGAAATCTGTCCAACACATGCACAGAAAGTGAATGGTACCCACATTCTGGCTTTCAAGTATTGATGACAGGTGGAAGTGCCAGAACAGTCCACACTGGAATAACCCACACAGCAAATTTTCAGGACAGTTGTTCATGCAATCTCTGCTCTTAAAATCAAGTGTACTTTTTGGAGTCTTTAAAGGGGAAACAGACACTATCATGTAAGTACAAGAGGAGAGGGTACCTCGAGTTTTGCTCCTCACTTACATTTCTGGCAGTTCTCCTTTCCTGGGCCCCAGCAACTTCCATTGGGGCAGCTGGGATCACACTTCTGGCCTAAAAATTAAAAGTGATAGTTAGTTCCTATCTCAGAGAAAGGGAACAAATAGTAGGAAACTGATGACATCTTCCCAGACTGTGAGCAAAAGAAATTCTAGAAACAGGGAGTAGTTTTCAAAGCTCTTATTCTATGTTTCACTTGTTGGTTTGTAAGATGATTACAAGACTTTCTTAAGGAAAGTAAGACAAGCCATGTCACAGTTGTTATGAACATTTCAGGTGTAGAAGCAGAGACAGAAAGAAATGATCAAACTGTCACTGGCCAGGATACCTGGGATTTAAGTCAACTCAAGGGTGTAGGCTTCAAACTGGAGAAGTTTTGAGTGTTTCCACAGCCAGGCGATGGTGTACAGTCTGGTGGGGTTGTGCTCATTCTCATCTGCCACCTTGAGTGACTGTTCCAGGGAGCTGATCTGCCGTAAGTAAAAATTCCCAGACTCAAAGCCAGAGCGCTTGTAGTCCAAATGTTGCACAAGGTTGAAATGTTTCCAGTGTGTGTTGTGTCACTTTTTGAGTTACCCAAAATATAAGTCATTAATTTTTAGGCTACTGTCTAGAAATATTTGCAACTGATTAATGGTTTGTAGATTTTACAAATAATCACCGAAAATTACAGTTACAAAGGTTTTTAATCTCGCTGATGTGTGTTCATCAGCATTGAGAAGAATGAAGACCAAAGTGATCTATGTGTATATAGAGGACAAGGTGACCACCATATTTGTTAAGAAGAGATCAGAGCACAAATATTCTTGAGTATGAAGACACAGTAACTAAAGGAAATTGAGGTATGTGCCAAAGTCTCCAGCAGTCAGGAAGAATTTAATCTCTGGGAGAGTCTAGATTTCAAACAGAGCAGCTGAAGATTGCCAAGTGGCTGTTGAATTAGAACACCTTTCAATATTACTGATTATTTTTACAAATGTCTCCAGAGGAGAATGGTATAATGTAATTCTGAGTCTCTGTAAAATTATGGAAAATGGTGAAGCCAAACCCCACATGAATGTGTGGAGTTTGATGGGGGTGGGGGTGGGGGAAGAAGGGTCAGGGAGAGAAGAAATAATATATAAAATGTTCAGTGATTTATGCCATGTTATTTTCACTTTTCCCCCATTACTTTCCATATTTTCCATAAAAGAAAAATGCTTTTCCAATATTTGCCAGCCAACTAATTCAAGGTCTACTTATAATTCTTGTCACCATCTGTGACAAAAAAACAAAATGCAGATACATTATATAAAGTAAGAATAATAGAAAAAAAAAGCAAAAAAGAACAAATGAGAATTATTTAGAAATAATATATACATATAACAACAAGCCTATGTAATAATTATCACAATTTATATTGTTTTATAGTTTAAAAACAAATCTTTGTGAGTTTATATATGACAAATCTTTGTGAGTTTATATATTTTTCTTTGTGAGTTTATATATTTTTATGACAAATCTTTGTTATGACAAATCTTTGTGAGTTTATATATTTTTCTATTTATTATGATTTTTAATGATAAGGCTGCCCCATAATTTAATAAATTGACTTCTTATTTTTAGATACATTCTATTTCTAAATTCATTATATGAAGACTGCAAGGAATATTGTGATACACAAGTATTTTTCTACAACTCTTTAGATTTTCACTCACTTTAAAATTTTTTTTCTTATTATTCCTAGAAATGAAATTCATGGGTCAGAGGTTTGCGTGTTTTAAAGCTTCAATACCTATTACCAAAAATCTTTCCCTGAGCAGGTTTTAGTAATTTATGCATCTACAAGCAGAATGAGACTTTTTTTCACCTCCCTGCTGATATTTATATACTGAAACATCAAAAGGAACCGATCTCTTCAGCAAAAGCAAACAGGATGCTGCTTTATTTTATCTTCTTTATTATAGTATGAAACAACATTTTGCTTTATTTCTTGTGTGAGCATGTGTAAAGAGGAGAGCTCAAGTTCTTGGGCTATTTTTTTTTTTAATTGAAAGGTTCACCTTTTTCTTAGGAGTTCTAAGACTACCACATTAGCAAGAATATTAACTTTTCAAGGCAATCAGATATTGCACAATGTTTTCAGACTCATCATTAACTTTTTTCACATAGAAATTTTCTTTTATGCTATCTAAATTTGGCTTCTCTTCAATTTGATATTACAAATAGTTTACCTTCACTTTTTTTCCTAATGGTTACATACATATCAACATTGTATTTAAACTATGTATTTGGAATTTATATTGTATATGAAGTGGCAATAGATTTAATGTCTTTTCAGGTAAACCTACTCATTCAAACTTCAAATTGCATGTGACTTCAAAAATAATGATGGGCCACATTGGTAACTCTTCTTCATTTCTTGAAACCCTTGTCATAAAACACTTAAATCATCTTTCAAAGTTGAAGGAGACAAATTTGCAGAAGGCCTCTGTGTGACCTGAAAGACACTAGGTGGGGGTGGTATCTCTTCTGCAGGAAAAAGTTGGGTTTCTGAACTGTCACTGGCCAGAAAACTAACAGGGAAAACACAGATGGAGGCGAATGATGATTTCTAACTTTCAGTGTGACCAATGAGAAAGCCCAGTTGTTTTTAAAAATCCTTTGTAGTTCTGTCACTTTGATTTTCTTCTTAGCAACTAACTCATCCTCAAAACAATTTATTAAATAAAGAATTCTTCCTTTATTAAACATCATTTCTTTACAGACAATTGATTTAGTTAGGCTTGTTCTTATTATCTCATTTTTTTTTTAGATTTATTATTTATGCATACAGATCTGGGGTACAGGCCAGAGGTTCAGGGGCAGTGAAAGGATTCATCAGAGACAGAATGGGGAGCAGAAAGGAAGATCAAAGAAGTACACTGCTGAGGGGAACAGCAAGCGAGACAGAAGAGGTCTGCTGTGCCATGTGGGTCACCTCTGGGGCTGGGGATTGAACTTGCACTGAAGCCCCTGTGGCTAGCTTGCAGTGTCATGTCCTAACCCACTGGGCCACCAGGAAGGGCCTATTGTCTCATTCTTATATGTCTCATATATGCATGTATGTGTGTTCATATATATAAAGTACAGTGACATAATATACATATATATGTGGAAAAAAAACAGTCACTAAGGACAATCAATATACAATCCACTCACATGAAGCCCCTGAAAAGATGATCATACAGACAGCAGATGGTGATTGCCAGGGGTTAGGGGGAGGACAGCAGTGAGTAGGTGCTTCATGAGTTAGGATTCCAGTGGGATGATGGGAAGTGCCGGAGATGGATGTGAGTAAGTGTACTTAATACCAGAGAAGTGTACACAGAAAAAGGAAAATGGTGGTGCTGGTTTCTTATTCAAAAGGACTGAATGACTCAGGAGATAAGGAAGGAGCTGACTGGAATTTACACATTGTAAGCATGTGTCTCAGTTTCCCTCAAGGACAGACCAAGAAGCTACTTGGCAGGCTTGCCCTGCATGGCTCCTTTCCTTATGCACAGCTGGGACTAAGTTGTTTGCACCAGGGGCAACATGGGCAAACAACATCCAGTTTTGTTATCTCAGGAGGGAGAGTCAGTCCAATGCCCAAGAGGATCTGGCTCCAGTTTGAGTCTTGGCAACCTGTCAGAAGTACACAGCTTCAGTCCAGTTTCCCCTGGCACCTGAAGAATCTCTGAGCCAGAAATGACTGCCACATTGGAACTCAGCTGTCTTGGGGGGTCTGCCCTGCCTGCAAGGGCACTAACAGTCTTCTAGATGCAGATCATTCATTTGCCACCATTTTATATTAGGTTAATGTGACTTGACCTTTGCTCTGCCTTCTCTCATCTCAACCCCACACACCCCGACTCTTGCCCACTCAGGAGCTGGAGCAGGAGACTGGGTATCACTTACAACTGCTCGGGTTGTGCTGAAAATCCATTGACATGTTGCTCAGAAAATCATTGTCGACGATGTCCCGCCACTGCACAGAATCCATGTTGCACAGGATAGGGTTGTTGCTGAATCGCACGGCACCATGTAGGATTTCTGTGTGAGAAAGGAAGCTCCGTGAGCAAACCTCCAACTCTAAAATCTCACAAAGTCTGTGTGCAGTTTTTATATCTTACGTTCTGCTAGAAGTGCCATAGAATTTCCCCATATAGCTTCAGTGGGGGCAGTTGGAAAGTGAATTGATAATACTGATGTCAGGGAGGTAAGACTTCCCCCTGAATTGTGTCTGCGAGCAAGAATGATCACATGTAGACATGTGAGAAGGTATAGGCATATGATGAAGCCTGTCAGTGGCACAGCATGAGTAGAATGTGCATGGTGGGTTGTTGATTCTGGGGGTGCTGACCAGTTGGGCTGGACAGAAATGAAGGGCAAGTGACCGAGTGCCAGGAGCAAGGCAATGAGGAAGCCAGGAGCATGTCATGGGAAAAAGGGTGTGAGAATGCAGACAACAAAGAACCCTAGTGGATACCATGAATGGGAAGGATGTAGAAGACAGTGTAGCTATTTCAAAGGAAGAATTAGGAGGACATGAAGAATCAAGAATGATACAAGAAATCCAAGTCTGAGTAAAAAGAGTGTCACCTCATTGACATTAATTATAAACATTGACTGAATGGCTTATGTGTTCAAAACACTGTAGCTAGTGCTTTGAATCTACAATAATGATTTGGCTTGTTGGCTTCTCTTGAAGAACTGACTTATACTGAAGAATCTTCTGCCCCCAGAAGACTAAGACACAGGACAGGGCTGGGTACATGCTAACTAGTATATGTGGTCTCAATTGATTCCTACCATGGTGAAATGGCTATGTGATGATGCCCAGCACCCCACAGGTAGGGATGGATGTACTACACACAGGTACAGGATGGAAAACAGGGTTCAATCTGGGAAGGCAGTGAGGTTGTCAAAGACGTAGTGTTTCCCACAACATGCTGCTGGAGGGGAGGAGGGTGCTGTGGCGATGAAGACACAGGAGAGACAGGTGTGGGTTTTTCACAGAGGATGACAGAGAATAAAGGGGTCAGGGGAGGCAGGTTGGGGAGGACAGTCATCTTGAAATATTCACTTGGGAGGAAACCAATGTCAAGTGGGGAGATTCTAAGAGCTCAGAACAAGACAGAAAAGTGACATCTAGACCACACCTATGACAACAGGACCTGTTGTCCAGGAAAAGAGTGTGAGATGGGAGTCAGAGTCAGGGCTGGGGTCTGCCAGATCACCCACAATTAGAAACAATGAGATGGGGGGTGGTATGGATGCTGGGGTTCTGGTGACCCTGCCTGGTACTGAGAGAACAAAGAAATTGGGGGGACAGTCATCCTTTGACTTTTACTTTCAACATTTAAAGACTTTGTAGAAGCACTGGGTTAATTGTTAACAATGGTAGCTAATTTATATTAAATAACTACTTAATAACACTATATGATCTATATTCATATAATCTCAGTACTAATAAGAGAAATGAAAGCGACAGCAGATATAACTCCTTAAGAGCTTTCTCCATAGTAATTCACTTAATTTCTCAGCAACCCTAGGAAGGGTTACTGTTGTCACCCACCGTTTTGAAGATGAGTAAACAGATAGGGGCTGTCTGGTCAGACATGGAGCTGGACTGGAGCCTTCAGGTTCTAGCCACATCCATGTCTGACTGGAGACACTGTGAGGGGAGACAGGCCAATGGGGTCGGGGTAGCACATGGACGGGCCATTCCATGGAATGAAAGGACAGCGTCGTTAGTGGCAGCAGAAACACAGCCACCTGCTTGGTGCCCCGAGCAACGAGGCAGTAGATGGGGATTCTTATAGCACGGAAAACTAGGAACCAAACCAGAGCATGGTGGCAGTTCATTCCACGAGGTTTTCACACATCATTCCCACTCAGCACTTAAACTCCTGGGCCCCCACAGTTCCTGGGACATCACCTCTGCTACACCTTCTCTTCCAGACCCTTCCGAGTGGCTCTCCCATCAGAAGTGTGTGGTAAAGGGGTGGCTAGGACTCAGGGGCAGAGGGTGGTTGCCAGCTGGTGTTTTCACTAATTTGGGATCTATGGAAGATTACTTGGCCCCATCTCTTAATTTGAAAAATGCAGAGTGACTCTCTCAAGGGAGGCATGGGCCTGAGATGAAGTTACCGATTTAACATGCCTGGCACCACAGCTGCTACAGAACAGCTACTAAGGCTGCCACAGAACGGCTTCTAAGATCTTCTATTTAAATCAGCATCCCGTTGCTTCTCATCCTCCCAGTGTCATCTCACAGGGCCCTCAAATGAGTCTCACTCACAAGAACTCCAGCTTTTCCCATAATGTCTTTATTCCCTATCTCTAACCAAACCTGACTTTCCATATAATAGCAATACTCCGGAAACCCTTGCAAACATGGGTTGATGTTACTGTATGGCCCTTCTATCTGAGGTTCATGTAATGAGATTGGCACAGAAAGTCTCTCTTCCAGACCAACTGCCTTGGTCATACTTTTCCCCAGAGCTTTTACCACTTCTCACTATCTCTCTGTCTATTTTCCACTAACATGAAAGAACTGGTATTGATGCAAATCTTCCCTTCCCATCCTCTCATTTCTCTTCTTGGGAATTGCACCAGCTACACCATGCATGCAATATGCTTGTATTTGATGAGTAAAGTCTCTGAGCAAATTCAGAGGAGTGACAGGTTCCCTGAGTGTCATCTGAGCAGCTCTCAGCACTCAGCCCCCGCAACTGGCCTCACCCTGTAGGTTCCGCAGCGGCAGCTCCCTCAGACCCGTTCTGTTTTCTCCGTAGTTGGACAAGACTGACAAGGCATGGGTGTGTTCATACAGCATGTTTCCCCTGATGATCTGCAGGTTTTCCAGGGGGATCTTCTCCACTGTATTGAGGGCGATGAGCACGTAGCCAGCCACCTCCTGAATAGTCTAAGGGGATGAAACTTGGATGTGATATTTTTGAAAATGGGTCTGGGTGATCAGGACACCTAATGGATTGTCCTTACATTTGACAGTGGCTGTCAAATGTAAGGCACAAAGCTGACTGCAGGTTGGGGAAGTGGGAAGTGGTAGGGTTTGCTAGGAGTCTGCCATTCTGCCTGCCCATCTACAGCAACAAGGAAGGGTGATGTGTGTTATGGAGGAATGCTGTGACTTGAATTTGACTTGGTGTTCAACACACTCAGATGAAAGTAGAGGTGCTTTGTTTGTTTATTCTATATTGGTCTGGCTTCCATTCTCTTTTCCAAAAGGAAAAGAAAAGCAAATAGAGAAAAGAAAGAACTCTGAGAAGGCTAGTCAAATCCAAAGTTCAACCACCAGCAAACTCTGGCCTTCTCAACTGGCTCCTACCAGCTCACCAGAATCTATTTTAAAATACTTGGGAATTCTGTGAACTGGTTGTTAAACTCTTGGTAGTGGGAGTGTTTATTCCCATGAGATAGGCAAATGCCACATAGTGTGACTTCTTATTTTTAAAGGACTGGTATACCAGCATGTCATGCCTGAAGCAATGAATAAAAATGAATACCACTCTCAGTGGTGATAGTGGATTGCCAGTTTGCCTGGTCCCTTCAATATTCTTTTATAACTCGAGATGAGCTGGTAAAGTAGCCTCATAAAACTCCAATTTATAGTTCCTTAGGACTTGTAATTGCCATGGTACATGCAAATACATGTCATTAAATTCTGCCAAGGCCTTTATTGAATATATTCACTCCTGTTACATTTGGGTAAGACAACGATATTCACCAAACTAACCTTTAAGAAGGAAAGGTCATAGTTCTTTTGCATGTAAGTGATTTCCAAATTCCCAAGGACCACCTCACAGTTGTTGAACATCCTCTGGAGGCTCAGAAAGTGGTCTTCATAGGTGCCCAACTGGGTGAGCTTGTTACTTGTGCCTTGGCAAACTGCAACAAAGGGAAAAAAGATACTACATGAAATGCCAAATATAAGAACAAAGCTAAAATAAAACAATATTCAGACATTTCAACTAAATTTGTATACTTTGGTGAATTACAATATTAACTCTGATGAAGTATGACAAAAATCTTTATACATAAGGTACAGTTCATAATAAGGGATAACTCATCTCTATAATGCATGCAATTGTTAAAAATGTTAAAAATTTATGGGGAAATTGATGAAAATTCAAAGAAATCTTTAAGACTAAATGGTCTATAAAAGCTAGGACATATAAATATTTACATATAAAATATATAGGTGATATAATTACAATGTTGAGTTATCAACTACATAATGAACTTTTTATTTTACCAAAAGATTTTGTGTTACATTATTGTGAGTCCCATAGAATATTCATTTATGTAAAACATACACTAGGCAATATTTTCTGACCACAAAGTTGTACAACTTAAAAGTCCTTGACAAGAATATAAATTAAAAACCCAACTGGCTGGAGAGTAAAAATATTTTTCTAAGTTAATGTATCAAAGAACAAATCAAAGCTCTAATCATTCAATATTTATAAAATAACAAAAAAGAAAAAATCACGTTTAAAAACACATTTGGCTAGTGAGAAGCCAGCACACCCCTCAGCTGCTCCTGTTGCCAGTGACCACACCGGCACATCCATACATGCAATTGCTTTGCCCCTTCTCCGCTGTCACATATCCGAGGCACGGATAACTCCCTCATGTTTGGAGGTAGCAAACTGAACACAGGAAAACATTTTAAATTAAGTGACAAACTTCCACTATGGAAAGACACTTGGTAGTCTATATTTAAAAGCAAAGGAGATTATATTATAAAGTCTTATTTACAAACTCAGCTCTTTGAAAGGCATGTTTAGGCAAGCATAGCAAAACAAAGAGATTTGGGGCTTTTGAAGCAGGGAGCTCATTAAGGGAATATACTTTGAACCAAAATTATCATAAGAGTGTGGAAATATGGCCTCTGGCTTTGGGGTTAGATTCAGAAGTGGCCAGATTCTTCCATGCTGCAGAGGCATGACCACAATCAGCAGCAGGTGGCTGGGTACAAAAACAAGGCCAAAGTCAATATACAGGCACTTTCTTCAGGAGCCTTTTCTGAATCTACACATCTAGTTTATAGACTTCTTTGTTCCCTGCACATGGGGATTGCTCTGAAGTGCATCATCTGACTGTCTGCCTTTGCATTTCAGCACAAGCTCAGACGCCACATAATCAACCCAAGGCATTTACACCGACATTAAATATGAAGTAATCTTCACATCCATTTTACTCTGGGGGTTTCCCTCTGTGGTCTCATTCAGGTTTGGGGGTGGAGAGAATTCCCACAGGGGAACCAATGGTGGGCCAGATGGAGTCCCTCCCCCTGACTCTGGGGCATCATCTTCCAACCATAGTTGGGGTCAACTCGACATCTCCGGTCTGCCTTTGCATGGCATATGAGTTGCATTGATGGCAATCTCAAGTTGGAACAATTGTTCACAGTTGGCAGCAATACATATTGGTGGGTTCAGAATGACGTCCCAATTCTAAGGTTCTTAAAGATGCCACCACCGTGTAGGCACAGGGGCTCGATAACAACATATGAATTTTGGTTGGTGCACTGTGGAACAAAGGTCGCTTAACCAACTGACAGACAGTGGTCTCAGGTGGGCACAAGTACTGGCGAGGCCTTTCCAGACCACAAGGTGAATGATGCTGACTAAAAGTGGGACTGGGCCCTCCCTGTAGCACAGTGGGTTAAAGCATAGCACTAAGAAGCTAAAAGCCACTTCAGAATGAATTCGATCCTGGCCCCGAGGTGATCCACATTGTGTGGCAGACCTCTCCTGACCCTCACGCTACTCCCCTCAGCAGTGTACTCCGTCAGCTGGCCTGTTCTGCTCCCCACTCTGTCTCTGGTGAATCCTCTCACTGCCCCTGAACCTCTGGCTTGTAACCCAGCTCTGTAGGCATAAAGAAATAAATCTTTAAAAAAAGGGGGCTAGAGGAAATTTCAGAAAAGTTTATTCAGTACACAGAGTGATGAAACAAAAATAGTTGCTTTCATTTTTAAATAATCAAGGATACAGTTTATAAGTTTCTCTCAGCTGAACAGAGAATTTTTATTATTGAAATCAATGAGAATGTAACTTCTATCACTATAAAAGGAAGCATTCCATTTAAGTTTAGCCAGTTATAGAAAAAACATCAATAAAAACCCTGTACTTCTTTTCAAATGTGCTAAATGAGTACATCAAGGATGAGGGTTACCTATCATCATTCCTCATTTTATTTACAACTAGTGTGAACTATTTAAAAATTTTTTTTTTCCTGGCCCTCTCTGGTGGCACAGCGGGTTAAAGCACAGCACTGAGAATCTAAAAGCCACTTCTGCATGAATTTGATTCCCACCTGCCCCGGAGGTGACCACATGGCATGGCAGACCTCTCCTGACCCGCCCGCTACTCCCCTCAGCAGTGTACTTCATCGATCTGCCTGTTTTGCTCCCCACTCTGTCTCTGGTGAAGCCTTTCACCGCCACTGAGCCTCTGGCCTGTACTCCAGTTCTGTATGCACAAATAAATAAATCTTTTTAAAAAATGTTTTTTTTTACTAGTATCAATAAATATAGAATCAAGCAAGTTTAAAGTTAAGTAAAACTAGAGTAGTAATAGGTTGAATAACTTCATAGGATGGTGCTATTAGAGGAGGTGTACCTAACAGATAGTGAGGGTCTCTGTGGGTAACTCTGGCTTTCAATATTGTCTGAATCGGGACCATTTGGATCTGTGGAGAGGCTCATTCAAACACAGCTTCTTTGTAGAATGTTTATCAAATGAAAAAAAGAAAATCTAGTCACATAGTACTTTAAGAATTTCATTAAACTATGAACTTAGGTATTAAAGCAATTTATTAAAATGAATATTTAATATTACTTAATATTACATTTGAAAACCAGACAAAAGAGTTTGTGTCAAGGGTCATACAAAATGCTAGTGATTTGCTCTACTTGCAAATCTAAAGGCAAATTCTACTGAACCAAGAGCTGCAATCTTTTTGTATGTGCTTTATTATAAGGGCTCATAAATTATAAAAAAGCTGAAAGAAGTGTACTATGAACACCCTTAGATAAACATGTTACTATATTCATGCATCACACTTTTTTCCACCTTAGTTTTTATGTATTTTAAAATATGGGAGAGGCAGCAGGCCACTTTGCCCTAGTATACCTTGGGTTACAGCTCACTAGAGCTTCCAGTTTCTATCTTTGGTATTGAGGCAACATCCACCAATTGTGAGATAATCAATCGTACAGGCAAGACACCAGTGTACCTGTAATCCAGTCAGAACAGAGCCAGCCCCTTTCTTCACCCCAGAGGGCCCTCAGGCCCCTCGTAGACAAGCACTGCTGCAGGTGTCACAGGCAACCACCACTTGGACTTGTTTCCACATACAGTGGTTTTAGGGACTTCGTGTTAATATAATTATGCATGTTGCCCTTTTGTGTAAGGCTATTGCACATCATATAATTTAAGACTCACTCACATCATGCTGAGCTTGCAATGACCAATCAGACAGATGTTTGATGGGAAGTTATCTGCAGATTATCCTTGCACATCTGGAGTGACCCATGGTGAGGTCGTTCTTTATCTCAAGAAACACATCCCCTTCCCTCACTTCAACTCCCCTCCCCACCAGTTATCTTAACATTAAAACAATCTACCTCTTTTTCTTTTGAAATACCCCTTATTTTAGGGAGTAATCCCTGTGTCAATATGGGGGTGTCTACTCTTTGCCCACAAGCCTGGGCAAATCTGTACTACTGATTAAGAAACAATATTAAAACAAGTTTCTCCAGATTTTCCTAGATCCACTTAAACACTTTTGGAATTGCCTAAGTCAATTTATAATTGTCCTAATCTGCTTCTTTCTCAATTATACCTTGATGGCTGCCCAAGTAGTTGGTTTCTTGTAGCTCTCGCCCCTTGATCTTCTGGGCTGTTTTAATTTTTGCCCCATTTTCTACAAAATGTCCTGTTCTGAAGCAGAAATTAACTCACACTCCTTGGTGTAAACCATCCTAAAGTTCTCCAGTGTCATGAAAATGCTGTGCAAGCTTTTCTCATGGTCAGCAAGGCTGGGGTCCTCTTTGTCTGCCTTCTCTGCTTACTGTCCAGCCACATTCCCTGACTTCCTTCCAGCTGCCAGGATAGTTCTGCTTGGGATGCCTTTCCGATTCTCCCAGATCTTTGCCTCACTGTCACCTTTATTCCCTGGGACTCTGACTCAATGGTCATTCTTTCAGAAATGTCTATTGTGGAACCGGCTCAGCATAAGCCATCACATAACCGTGCTTTCTTTCCTTCCCAGAATTTATCACTACTTAAAATTTCTGCTTATAGAAATTATATATGCATGTTATTTGTTTATCTTCCATTTTGGGTGGGGAAAGGTGGAATGCAGACATCACTGGGCTGGCCTGATGTGCACACACCACATTGCTGCATTTGTATTTTAAGCTTGAATGCAATGGTGTCATGTGACTCGCAGCGCATGACTTACATGGTCTCCCTGCCCTTCTTGCTTCCATGTCTGATGGAGGAAAAAGAGGAGGAGGTGACAGGATGTCTTAGAAGACTGTTAATTCTCACAACTTTCTGGTTGGTCATGTAACATCTTTGTTGTCTAGGTAACATATTTGATTAAGCTTTAAAAGTCAGAGGAGGATTCCCTCCCCATATACAATTGCATGTTGAAAAGACTTTTAGAAAATTTCAAATAAGATGGTATTTACATATGGATTTAAAAAACACATAAAGAGGTGGGCTCCCTGGTGGGAGTGCTATTACCACAATGGCCTGAGTTTGATCCCCAGCCTGGGAGTTAACACATACATGGGTTAAGTATAGCAGACCTCTTCTGTCTCTCCTGCTAGTCCCCTTTGCAGTGTACTTTTGTTCATCTGCCTATT